ACACACACACACACACACACACACACACACACACACACACACACACAAACTTGTTGCGAAGCAGTTAGAGCTACTACTACACACAGGCATCTACTACATACATTATCATTATGCTGCAAGCTTATCTCTGCCCTCTCAACCCATCCTTCTCCCTAACCTAACTGCTCCCCACCAAAGATTGTGTATTAATGTCTTAAGTTTTAATTCTCGGGGGGAGGAGGAGAGGCTGACATAAGGGGGCAGAAGTGCAGGTGCTGATGAGGAACATTTTAACCATCACCAGTTGCACATAAACAACACACGTTTATACAATGCTGCACAAACTCTTATGCCAGGTGCAGTCCATAGAACCTTCTCCATGGTAGGATAACAGTATTACCTCCAAAAAACCCGATCCATTGGACCAGATAATCTCAGAATACACCTCCCTACCAAATTTTTGTAGATGGACTTTTTTTTGGGGGGGTGGGGTGGGGGGGAAGATACCACTCAACCACTAAAGGTCAGCCTGCCCAGGAGAGATTTCAGCCACAGCAAAGCTTCAAAGACTTCCTATTAAAAATTATGAAGAGAAACGAAACAAAACCTACATAGAATATTCAAAGGGCATAAACATGGTGTATTCTTCACACCGATAAGCCATCTACTGTTAGAGAAAAACAGGAATGTATATCTCACTAACACCTAACTATGGAACAGTGAGCAGGTGCTTCCATAACATACAGAAAGTACAAGAGACTACATGGTATTTTTGCTGTATATATAGCATAAAAATGGGTTAGGCAGCTCTCTCTGTTTATTAATAGCGCTGGTTTGTGTTGCATTCTGTTAGAATTCTCATGCCTGTTCATTTTTTTGAGGTGACAAATATTCTTTTTTAGTCACTGGTTATGAGTCATATTACTGACACAACTAATGAGTGTAGCCCAAGTGTCCTCCACAGATAATTAAGTACTAACAGACTATTACAATTTCAAGAATACGAGAGAGTATTACAGCATGTATAATTCTTCTCAAGGCGGCAGAGAATATCAACATAATTTATTTACAAAAATGAATTTACTGGCCAAAACCCACATTTGAGAGGGGAGTGCCAGGGCAGCAGACATTACTATCTACTGCAGCATCACTGCAACTAGCTCTATGGTCAAGAGGGAATTCCATCTCCCTGGAACATCCATCAGACCCCATTTATTATGGCTGTAAGCAGGAAGTGAGGAGTTGGCCCATAACGTGCAGGGGTATCAGAAAACATTGTCAAAAACATAAAAAGGTTTGTATTTAAGAAGTAAGCCTGAATGTCTCATATACGTTCGCAAACACACTCTCTCTGCAGCAGACCTTACAACTTACCTCCAGCTTGGGAGGTGGGGCATGTGGTCCTCTTGTGTATAGTCTACAATGTCGCCATCACTGTCACGCAGACACTGATTCTTGTGTACCAACCTAAAAAAGTTATTATGAAATATTATATTATTATGCCAACTACTGAGTCACAGAGCAACTAGAGAATTCAGTAACTATAGAAATAAGTTGTAAAATGAGCTCTCATTTGCTTAAGAAGCTAAACTATTCCTCCACATCTATATTAATATCCACACACGTCCCTGCAAGAGCAGCATTTCTGAAAATATCTTGAGGCTTCTAGAACTAATGACTTACGGGCTTGATCCTGCATGGTGTGAGCACCCTCACCTTACACTGGATTCAACAGGAGGGGAAGGTATGCAGCACCTCACAGCACTGAGCACTAAATAGAGAGCAGCATTTTTCCCTATTACAAGCCATTAATTAGACTCTAGAAGCACTGAGGAACCTGATCTCTGATAAATTAACTGAGAAACCTTTGAAAGTGTAATAACAGAGTTTACTTCCCCACCTATGAAAGAAATAAAAATAATATAACTACTTTTTATTTAAGAGCTCATGCCTGAAAGCCCTGGCGTGTCTTAACAATAGGACAACAATCAATAGCTACCAAAATGGCAAAAAATGAGCCAATGCTCAAAGAAATCCTAGAATCACTGTATGCTACAACTTCAGCTTCTATATTCTGCAAAATACATTTCTACAGTCACCTATCAGACATTTTGGTACTACAGAGATAGCCTAACAATGAGAGCATTAAATATACAGAGATAAATAATTAAAGAGTAACACTGCCATCACCACTATTTCTGCAAGTTACTTGGCAAGAGAAATATCCTCTTAAAGACTGTGGGTGAAATCTTGGCCCCTTTGGATGGGAATTCAATAGATTTAAATAGGGACAGGTTTTCACCTCAACTCTCTTCCCAACCTACCAGTCCCTGCACTGCTTGATTGTATAAATATTCCATTCTGAAGACCACAGGAAAAGTTCCATATAATAGTGGTAGTCCACAGACCATAGTTTGAGAACCACTGTTATAAACACAAACAGTTCTATCCCAAGCACACCAAAATAACCATCACATATTCCAACTCCCTTCCCCCATTCACACAAATGAAAAAGAAAATAAATCTTCAGTCTTCTCGGGAAGGATGCCACAAATTAATTCTGGTGTACATTAAATGGGAGAATATTTCAAAATTGTGGGCTCTCAAAAAAGGAGACCTTGCTTTTCTATTCTCTCTAAATTATATTATCAGACAATTATTGTATCCAAATATTTTAATCACGATGTGGGAAGTGGGGCAGTTGGCAGTTCTTTAGGGAGATGGTCCTGTATCCTTCCCAGCTTTATATACAAAAAACAGGCTCTTAAAAACACACTTGCTGCATTTTTCTAGATGTATAAATAATAGATGGGTCACATTTATAGACCTATACAGCTGCCTGTTTGGTTCCCATTTAAATTCCAGAGCAAAATATTAATTCAAAAATAATTCAGTGTTAAAAACTGAGTGGGGAGGCTGGGGAACAGTATGCCAGTCGGGTTTCGATTTCTACAAAGCTAGTGGAGAATTAACATAAGATTGCAGGACAGAGAAAGCTGAGGCAAGCAGACCCATTAAGCCATAGAGTTACTAAAGTAAAGTAAGGACTTAAACTGCCCAATGCTCTGCATGGCTATGAATCAAAATGTAATCAGATCGTACGTATTATCCATTGTATTTCAGGTTTTTCAGCAGTCATATTAATCAAATGTCTACACACTTTTATAGGTGTGATTTCTCATAATTAAGAGTTAGCATGAAAGAGAGGACTGAAACACAATATATATTTCCATACTTTGGAAGACAGGTGCAAAAAGGCCTCCATGCTGGACAGGATCTGTAGGATTAATCTGGCATTTTTAATTAATTTCACTGACAAGCAATAGAGTTTTAAAGATTGTAAATTCCTTGGCAGCAGGACCTTCTGTATTTTGCCTTGTACAGCAATAAACATGCTGTCATAATTTAACAAAGAATAAATAAATAATGTAAGACTTCTCTCAGCAATCCAAACAATATTTTTATTAAACTTAAATCAAATTTGTGTGTATATAGGTGCTTCCTTGCTCCTCCCCTAAACTGGAAACAGCTCATTAATGTGTCTTGATCATGCTTCACTACCCTTCAATCTGACAGAAGGGGACATAGTGTACTTGTTTCTGATATTAGAATATGAAGTTTCGTACCTATATAATAAGATTCCAGAATTGTCACTCTGAAGCCTAGAATGCCTGGAGTCAATGTGAAGTGATGGAAACAGCTACAAGCTAGGTTGAAAGCTTTTTGTTAAAATATCACCAGGCTGAATTATCACTGGGTTCACAATCTACTATCCAGTTTGTTCTCAGTTATTTTGACTTTACAAATTACACCCGTTCAGAGTACAGCTGTAGTATAGCATATATTTATTCCATGCCAAGAGTCCTAAACCATTGTGATAGCAGAGGTAACTCAACCAATCACCACCTTTATTCTACAAGTAATTTGCATGCAACAAATTTCATGGGTTGTATGAGAGAGACTACACAGATGGTGGATTACTTGGACCAACTGCCACATCTGTGCAACAGCATGGGCTTTCAGCTACTAGTATTCAATAATGGTTAAACTGAAACTCATGGGATACTGTTCTTTTGATGCTCTCCCTCATTCTTTTCCATATACTAAAGGCATTTTAAATTTGCTTCATACTTTGCATCAGTGAAAGAGTAAGAGGATTTCCTTATTCAAGGCTATATTACATTTCTCTATGCTACTCTGACGCCGGGTCCACTCCCGCAATGCTTCTTATAGCTAGTTCCCCACTCCCAGCTTCTTTTTTGCATATACAACAAACACATCAGAAGTAAATGTAGTGCATAAACAGAATGGAGATCATGTAACACCATGAAAAGATGCTATCTGGGTCAGCCGTGAGACAGGGAGCGAACAGGACACAGGTGTGAGGAAGGGAGCCAAAGACGTTTTATTTTTCCTAAATAGAAATTCGTTTGTCAACCTTGAGGACATGTAGGAACATGGTAATGCAACTGGAAGATTTGCTGTCAGGAACAGGTAGTGAAAATTTGGTCCAAGGTCTGGGAGCTGCTCTTTTAAGTCTTGGACGGTGCCAAAATACCTCTGTTGGTCCAAGGGAACAGTGACCATTTCAATACCGTATATCTCATGACCATTAAGATTGGAAACATTTTTTTTTCTGTCCTTGATAGTTCAGGATGGCTGTTAGAACCAGGCCCAGAGCTGCACACCATCTCAAAGGTTCGTATCTCAACATAAAAAAGATATAGAGCATTAAGCCCTAATTCTGGAGGATCATGGGAACATTGGCAGCTATAATAATTCCACAGCTGAAGAGAGGCTGGAGGGGAAGCAAAATGCTAAGTGGGATAATCCGATTTTCAAGTCTGGATATCATGAAATCTACTCATTTTTTAAAATACATTTTTAAAAATTAATGATGTAAGTGTTCAGTAGTTTCACAAACCCTGAAAAAATAGTGTGTGTTCTTTTACAGCAAAGCTCCTTGTTCCAGTGAAGTATGAAAGGTTGTTGTAGTCTCATGTGGCTGCTGACATCATAAGCAGTTCCTGTTTTTACTCTTTAAGAGGAACTAGAATATCCTAACTAAGTTTAGAAATTATTGGATTGGGTGGGGGAAAAGAATCTAACATTTTCTCCATTTAAATCTATTTTTGAAAAATAACCGATCATCATCTCTGGAAAGCTGCTAAAAAAAAAAAAAAAAAATATGGGGAGAATTTCCTCTTCTTTTGATGGATAATAAACAAAATGTTCTCAAACTGGCCAGTTAATTTAAGCTTTTCATAGAATTACCAATGTTCTTGTAATCCAAACGGAAGAGGTTAATTTCTAGTCAAGATTATTAACTCAATTTAGTGAAAAAAGAGATAGTTTCTTCATTCCAAAAGAAATTGGGGGCATTTCTGTGACTCTCTCATTTGTCATCTTTGTTGTTAAATTGCTTCTTTACTTTCGGATGCATCAAACAATTCTAAGCACTGCAAGTGAAATCTTTATTGTATTAGTCATATACAAGGTGAAGATAAAATTACAGGATTGCTTCAAAATGTGGATGCAAAAGATTGTTACTACAGCCTTAGAGAAGGGGCTTGAGTGGCACGTTTCCCAACTGTTGAAGAACCAGACAGGATTTAATAAAAGATTGGTTCACCGTTGATACAAACAAGATGGTTTTTAATATTCTCCATTATGCTGCTGCCCATCTGGTCAATGGAAGTAGTAGTATTTGAACTCTTTTTTGGGGGGATGGGGAATGACCTCTAGTGATCTGGGTGTAGAGAATGTTTACGTAAACAGTTTTGTAGCCCTCTCTACTGAGCTTTATGCCAGGGATTGTGCCGTAAATTTGCCTCGTGTAAGATATGTACATTGTAGGGGAATTCATCAGGTTTTCCCTAAGGCTTATCTTTTATTTACTCCTATTATTGAAATCCTAATTTTTAGAAGAGACGATTTGCCAAACTAGATCAAGCCACTGCAGTGGAGACTTCTCCGGGAAGGCAGGCTAGACTTTGCCTACCCTTTTTGTCAGGTATAGTATGAGCTCTATTCACTGCTGTAACTGGGGCTGGGCACAGTTTTGCATGTCTTCTCCCTTTCAGATGCCACCAGTTAGTATCCTGCCTCTAGCAGTGACCCAACACTTGTTTTAGTGCCAGGCAAAATATCCCTAATGCACTTAGCCAACTGGGCAATGCTCATGTTCCTTCTTGACCCCTGCAGGTGATCTGATTATGCCTGAAGCTTGAGTATGGATTGTCTTTTTCTTAGCTTCTACAACTACATATGCTGTTAAAGAGTCACATTACATTATACTTTTAAAATTAATCATTTTCTATACTTATTATGTATTGCTTATGATTGTACTTGCAATATGCTAGGATTTTTCAAGACAAACAAGAACAAAAGGTCCCTATCCTGAGGAACTCACATTATAGGGACAGACAGGTGAAATACAGAAGAGGTTAGGAGGAAATGGGAAACAG